AGGCGCCCGCCACAACGCCTGGCTATTTTTTGGTTGCAGCCGTCATTGTTGTTTGGCGGGCCTGGGCTGGATTCGAACCCGCCACCTTAAGTGTATGAGGCTGGCGCCTTAGCCACTTGAGCCACAGGCACCAAGCCTCAGTACAACTTCTAATAAAATTACTTGTGTCAAAAAATGTTTCCTACTCACTCACAATACATGTAACTTGATAAAATTCACATTAATTCCTGCACAACAATGAACACTACAACTGAATTATATGATTGAAAATAGTTAAAATGGTTTTTTTAAAAAGATTCTTTCTGTGTACCATAAAATATCTTCTTTGCCATTCATAACAACAGGGAAAAGTTATTGTCCTATTAATTTGGTGGTTATTGTCTGCACATTCTTTAACTCTGCTGCTGTTCAACTGAACTGGTCCTGGCACACTGCAGAGAGGCAGAGCCCACCCTAACAGAGTGAATGGAAAAAGACAGAGGTGCTCCTACCACAGGACAAATCGTAATCTATATTCTGGTTCAGGGATTGGCAATCTACATGGATATCGAATCTAGCCTACCACCTGTTCTTGTACCACCCAGGAGCTAAGAATAGTTTTCACATTTTTAAGTGGTTGGAAAAAGTCAAAAACAGAATAATATATACTTCATGATAAATGAAAACTATATGAAATTTAAATTTTAATGTCCACAAATTTAATGTCCACAAATAAAATTTTATTGGACATAGTAGCAAAAAAATGCACATTAATTCCATGTCAGGTGACTGGCAAATAAGATTTTCACATGAACAAAAAATAAAAATAAGGTCATTATAAGAACTATCTGCTGCCCTACAAGATATTAGGTCTTCTATCTTAAGCCTAGCTCTATATTAAGAAATTCCTTAACAGCATGAGCAAACCAATTCCCTACCCAATCTTACCAACTTTAGGGTCCAAAACCAAGCCTCCAGCATACGCTGCTTTCTTACGGCCTTTCTTGTATTTGGTATCTCCATCAATTTCTTCATCTTCATCTCCCTACCATCAAATGGAAAGATAACTTCACTAGCAGAAACTAATTAATCAAGAATTTTTATGATTCTCTCTTTTCCAGTTTAAGTACTCAGTTCTAAAAAGCATTATTTAAGCTAGTAGTCCTATCTGTGAAGAAAGATAGTTACTGTGATACAGTCATGAATCCAAATAAATGCCAATCATTGTAGTTTCCAAACAAACACTTTATATCTGAGTTAAATATGCAAATTCTATTTTTAAATGTTTCTGAATTCACAGAGATTTCATATTTTTAAATCAATGAACATTAAAAATACACTTTTCAAAATGAGATTGCCTTAAATTGATCATTCTAACATTCATGACGTAAAAACACAAAATATCATCATTCCCATTATTAATAAGGACACCATTAGTAGATACATATTCCTTAGTAGTTTATTAATGGCCAACATTCATTTCCTCAGGAGTTAGTCCTCTAAATTAATATATTCCCTATACCAATTTTGATAATGTGCATAAAACAAATACAAAAACCTGAATCGCATTTTAACATTCAATTCCCATTCTGAATCAATTACTATCAGTGCTAATAAAATAGTAGCTCCAAAGTGATGGAGACCTCTTCAGAAACCTGACTGTGGAGACCTTAATCACACTAGCACAGAAAAATGCAACAGAAAAATAAAGGTTCACATGGTTAAGGAAATAAAAAGTTTAACTGCCATTTATTTAACTTTGGGTAGGACTAACGTGGCAAAACATTTTTCACGTACGGTCACCCATCAGAGAGGTCTAATGCCTCCCTCAAAGAATTTCCTATTTCACAAATAATTTTGTCTATACAAAGAAAAGTGGGGAAGGAAATGACCACACAGACACAAGGGAATAAACTTGATGTGGTTTGTACAGCACACAGGGTATTAATTATATTTGGAAGCAGGTGTTATCAACAGCAAAAAAAGGCTATCTAGGTAATAAAAGGGGATAACACAAAGCAAAATATTATACAATTTTGGACCCACCAGTTTTTGTGGCGGCTTTCTGAAAATCTGCTTGTCAGGCACAATATAGTTGTTTTCATAAAATGCATGAAGCAACAAGAACTCGTTACGTTCAGATCTTCCACCCATCAGCGTCCTGGACTATTAAATAGAATTTCTTTTATAAATTTCAGCTCAAAACCACAATGAACAAAAGCAACTCTTGAGTCAGTAAATTCATTTTTTTAAATTTTTTGTATGCTTGTTTTTGAGACAGAATCTCACTCTATTGCCCTGGGGTTGAGTGCCATGGCATCATAGCTCACAGCAACCTCAAACTCTTAGGGACTCAAAAGATCCTCTTGCCTCAGCCTCCTAGTAGCTGTAATGATAGGGTAGTTTTTCTCTCTTAGCACAGATGGGGTCTCCTTCTTGCTCAGGCTGGTCTCAAACTTCTGAGCTCAGGCAATCCACCTGCCTCAGCCTCCCAAAGTGCTAGGATTACAGGCGTGAGCCACTGAGCCTGGCTGAATCAGTAAATTTAATCATGGAACCTCCTTCAAAACTGTTCCTGGCTCAGCGCCTATAGCTCAACGGGCTAAGGCGCCAGCCACGTACACCTAAGGTGGCAGGTTCGA